TTTCTTACCACCATGAATTCTGGAAGCATGTTTACTTCCATAATCTCTTAATTTTTTAGGTATAGTTCTATAAGGTTCTTGTTTTAAGAATTCGTTAAATAGCCAGGCATTACGCGTTTCATTTTCTGTAAAGACAGGATCACGCAACTTTTTTGCCTTGATTGCATTTTGAATCCAGGTGAGTAATTCTCTGGTGCATTCCAGGCTCTTCTCCATGGAAATAAATGGTTAGGGCTCGAGATTTTTTTTCTTCTCTTCTCTACTTTTTAAATAGCCCGTATAGTACCAAGAATAACCTTCTTTATACCATACTGGAGCATTCATAGGATCTGGTTCATAGTGAAAAATTTAAAAAGATCTTACTTCTGCAGGTCTCATACTCAATATCACAATTACATCCGCGAGATCTTCTTTAGATGGAATTTTAAAAACATCCATATTCTGAATTCTTTTAAGCACTCTTGCTAACGAGAAGTGTATTGAAATTCTATCCGGATTAGCCATTTGTTTTTTAGTTTGTTTTTTCTGAATTTTATTAGACTCTTGAATAAGTTTTGGATCTTTGACATAGATATTAATAATTTCAGGACTTATCCGCCTTCTGCTAATTTCACACGAAATTGTGACTAGCGTGAACTACTGGCAACTATTTTATTTTCATAATTATTTTTTGGGCCTAAATCTAAATGATGAGTGAAAATGTCCATAGCATCGCCGATTTTAGCGCAATATTTTGCCCTTTTCTCTATAGTGAGTTTTCCTTTTCTCTTATCTGGTAAGAGAGCCTAAATCTGCTCTTCACTAAATAAGTGTCTGTTATCAGTACCTCTGGCAAGAGCGACTTTAACACACCTGCGAGCCATCCAATCAGGAAGTATTACATCGAGTTTGGGAGCATGTTCATTTAATTGTTCTGGAGTAGAGTCAGCCGTCAGATTGTGCTTTTCTAGGAACTGCTTCAAGACCAATACAAAGTTATTAACTTTAGGTTTTCGGGTCTTTGGAGAAGCTGTTTTAGTAGCCATGTCAATAGTAAGTGTTATCTAGTTATATATTAATCTAGTTATTTTTTAATTCGAAATAATTCGCTCTTTACCAAAGCATACTGTTTTCCTGGAGTATGCTTATATTTTTTTGCCACTCCTCATCGGTATCGAGCCAGAAGAATGTGGTCCCCTTATCTTCAAGGTCACAACAGATTATTTCTTCTCCTATCAATCTTTCCCACACTGATATGTCCATATATTCTTTAGGGTCTTCTTCCCCCCTCTTTTGCATAACCGCACATCTGAGCGTCAGTTTCTATTCTATCCCGGAATGCAATGGAGTCGAGCTTGTCCTTTTCTGTAATATATTGGGATCCTCACCAAGTTCGATTGCCCTTTTTCTGAGGCGCTCTTCGTGCTGGGCCTTGCTCAGAAGTATGGCAGATAGTACTTCATTGATAGGCTTGGAAGAATCAGTTTCTTTAGAAGGCGCATTTATTACCTTACTAATAGGCTCGATAGATTCAGGAAGCTTGCTAGTTTCGAGCCGGCCCTTTTGAGATTTCTGGCTCAGGTAGGTTAGACATCTTAGAAGTTTTGGAAGTCCCAGATGTTGAAGCAACTGGTGCTTTGGTTTCTTCTACCACATAGTCAAATAGAGCTTGGGTTACATTGTCCTGATTATCCTCTTTCTTATTACTAGAAGGGAGACTCTTTTCTGCCTGAGGTGGAATTATTTTCAGAGGAACAATTTCTGGTACATTGAATATGGGTATGTCTGCTGTCCCATTTTCAGGTAAGTCAGGTTGAGGTGTATTAGAAAATTCTTCGATATCACCTAGGCCAAATTCACAGAGCTTAGCCACGATTCTGGAGTGGTCGAGAATATATTGCCATTCCCTTTTTCTACCACCCGCTCATGCCTGTTTACTCTCAATTCCAATTTGAGAAAACTTCTTTCCAGCAACTTTACTAGTCAATAGTTTTTTCTCATTTTCTCCACACCATTCAAGATAATTTGATATAGTAATGTACGACTTGGTCTGGCTACATTATCATCAGACCAAGATGCAACATAATCAATTATAAATCAAATTGGATTAGGAAGTTGTTCATGTATTAAATCAACTTTCATTTTAGTAGATAGGATCTCTTGTGGACTTCAATTTGAAAGATCAAGACTAAGTAAATAGGCCATAACTACACTTGGCGCATCAGGATGCTCTAGTACTTTGCCTAAACGCCTAAAATATGCTATATTATCCTTGCATTGAGAAGACACATCGAAGCATACAATACGACAATCTCCTATTTCTATCTGAAGTGGAGCATCATGATTGCTCGTGATCATAAACCTGCATAATCTTTTATTACTTTAGGCTCAAGACCTTTGTGCTCTATTGTTAAGTAGTCTTCTGTAATAAGTGATTTGAGATGATTATTATATTTATGCCAATCCCTGCAGACATACCCGTCTCATTCATAACAATTAATTTTCGAGCATGAACGCAACTATTGAATCGTCCTAATATTTTCCCGAGATCAGAAGTTTCATAGAAAAGCTCTAGACCAAAAACCTTTTTACCTATAAAATCTATTAAAATGTTTTTTCTGCAACCCAGAAGAGAACGTAATACTGGAATTGTTCCAGGCTTTTTTGTTGGATTTTGTACTAAATATGTCCACCAATACCATAAATATTTATTAAGTTCTTTATTCTCACCAGAGATTATATTTTTTGTATGCCAAAGAATAAGATTTATAATATCAGAATTAATCATATCCGCTGGCCGAGCTTTGAATCCTAGAAAAAGATTAAAGAACTTTGTATTAAGCACCGGTGTATTTAGTGAATATGGAAGAAAATCATTATTGCGATAAAGAATTAGCCCCTTGACGACCGCCCATTCTATTAAATTAATTAGTTTTACTGCTTTACCCCCCAATTCAACTAAGCAAACTTCATACTTAGCAAGGTCTAGTTTTGATACTAGTTCAAAGACAAGACCGCCATCTGTATCTTCCATTTTAAGTACCCATAATCTTGATGTTGTTTGAATACAGGCAACCATTGCCTGAATTACTTCATATACTTCATTGCGAGAAATTTTTCGTCCAGATACACATATATCAATTAGATCTCCCTATACGAAATGGTCATTTGGATTAGAAATCCTATGCTGTTGTAATTTCATTGGGCTCAGAAGCTTCTTTTTTTGATCCAAAGTAGTCTTACTGATAGTAAGTTTTAATAAGGGATTTCTTATTCCAGGTTTTTGATCCTGATTGGCACGATGACAATAAAATCTGTATGACTTTTTATTCTGTATAATATATGCATTTTCATTTGTATACTCCCGATCACATAATAGACAGTGTGATGGAGAGTTGCGCGTCAATGGAAACAAGTCGGGAATATTATTTGAAGAGAATGAGAGAGTATACCCTTTGATACAATTTTCTTTGAGTAACGTTTTCATGAAATCAAATTCAGCCTGAGTACTCTCGCCATCTGTATCATTATTCCTTTTCTGGTGTCTTTCGACTTTCGGTTCCAGAATACATAATAGAGGACTGTCAATAACTTCTGATTCATCATTGGGCGGGTGAATCATAAAGTCAAAGATAGTTCCATCTTTTGGATATATTGCTTTTTTTATCCGTATATGGGAGCCAGTCTTTTCATCAAACTTAGACGTCCCTAGCATTCGCAAGGAGAATGATCGTTTGTTTGCTATATTGTTAATAATACTATTTCCCTGAAGAGATACTAGAAGTTTCTTATGGACAAGTTCAGTGAATATTGCAACCTGAGCAATATTTTTAAGCCTCATACCAGTAGTAGAAATGTGGAGGAATATTTTTTTTGCATCAGTACTACTGGCAACAGTAATACTATTTTTTTCCCACTTTGGGAATATTTCAAGACAAACATCTCTAAAGGCACGATTAAGTGTATCTAGTATTTCTTTACGCATAAGCTTAGGTTCGATGCTATTATGCACCTCTCATGGCAAATCAAAATCTATAATGGGCCAGAGTGGCTCATCCCTATCAATGAATTCGTGTAAGGAATGGCCTTCACGATCTGTAAGTATGGCCTCTATACTATCTTCATTGTCAGCGCCTATAAAATGCCTTGGTCTAATACTATCATCCCAAATTTTATATAAAGATGCACCTATATCAGACGCTTTCAACCCACAATAGTATGGGGCAGGGCCATTCAAAATCTCTGAAAGCTCAGATTGAATCATAGTATTATATCACAAATATACAGTTCGAGAAAATGTATATATTCCGGGAGAAAAAAGTTTAAAATAAAAATTAATTCCAAAATATATAAATCGATACATAAACCAACTATTTATAGTTATTAAAAAATGGTATTTTATCGATGTCCTTATATTCTCAGGAGTGGTGAGGTTTGCAATCGGTGATGCTACCGACCGGAAGGATGCCAAATTCATTGGAACTCTCCCTTACGTGTACCTTGCAATAAATGCGGTAAATTAACTTTTTCCAAATATGGTACTTGTGATATTCATGCAAGAAAACATCGTAAAATGGAACAGTACTATTGGAAAAAGCTAACTGACTTGGCTTCAACGCAGATAACAGTAGGTAATATAGAGATAAACAAAAATAATACAACTTGATGAGTATCATCAAAAAGTCTTAGTGACAAAAAATTCTTGGTGACGCTCTTGGTGACAAAATTTATAGCTATTTCGCTATTTCAAACCCACAGAATAAGTTTCAGGTGGGTGTCACTATGTCACTAAGAGTCACTAAGAAAATTCAGACTTTTTTACTTTTTTATTTTTTTTCTAACTGATATTATACATATATTGCACACATACTTCACACTAAGCATATATACACTAATACATATACATAGGATTACCCATAGAAAAAATTAATTTTTTTTTTCTAAAACTTTACTTTTTCTTAGTGACTCTTAGTGACAAAGAGAAAAAATATAAAAGAAGATGACCAAGCATTATGAAACTTTGAAAAAGTACATGAAGGTGTCACTAAAAGCCATCACCAAGAAATTTTTTTTATAGTGACAAGAGGATTTCTTGGTGATGCTCAAAAATTAATACACTCATTGCCTCGACCAGCACAAGTGCGTTTAAACTATGATCAGGTCTTTAAAGTAATGGTAGAGGCATAGTAAATTCGGTTAATTATGGCCAGCAGTATTCTATAATTTTAGCCAAATCTTTGAATATAATAACTTGGTATCCAAACCGGCATAAAAGTAATCCAGAACTGGTGAACTAATAGAACCTTTCCAGTTTTCTGCCAGTTCTCTGCTAGTGCCACGATAGTTCTAGACACTATCAGCCCACTACTATAGTGCTGACTTGGATCCTCAAACCATGTGTTCTAAAGATCAGCCAAAATTATATTATAGTGTTAACCGAAATTAAACGTAGGTCTACTGCGCCACCTAATGTGATATTTTTTTCTATTTTGACGGATAGCTACAAGATAATAAAAAAGATGCAAAGCAATAAAAACAAATAGTTATAAGCAGTAGAGTAAAAAGGGGAGTTCTGGGTCACTTTTTTCACACCTCTATATGACATATTGTTAAAAACTGCTTTAATCGTCATCCTGCTATATTTTATAGCACTTTTATATACTTT